CCCACCAACTTAGCGCATAGTCGTAGAACTCAGTAGCCGCAACTTTAACCTTGTTGGCCTCGGTACACTCTTGACAAACAAAGACTAACTCAATTTTCTGCTCCCACTCCAAGTAAGTGTCCGGATTGTTGGTTCCGTGAAAGGCGGGAATCTTGAGTTTTATTTTTCCCAAAGGATCTCTAGGCGGGGGTCTTTCTCGCTGCCGCCTACGTTGACTATTGTGAGAAGAGGCATGACTATAGTAATTTCTTGCTTCCTCATCTTGCCTTGGTTCCTCTTGGTGCTGCCTTTGACGTTGATTTGGTTCCGGGTTGATTTGATTCAAGTGTAGAGCACCAAGCTTCTCGTCGATCATTGTTGCCATTGCAGCTGTGACAGATTTCAAGATTTTTCTCTCCAAGCTAGAGGTGGATGACTCTTCGTCTTCAGATGTCACCATTGTTCCTGAAAAAATCGAAAATCTAACAAGTAAACAGTCCAAAAACAGACAAATCTAAACGGATCTGAAAAAAATATCAAAACGATTCCAATAATTCGAAAATAAATTTTCAAAAATACTAGACTCGTTACTGGTTCGAACGCAATTGGTTTCACAATTTTTCAACGAGCCAATTATTTTTAAAAATTAAAACAAGATGCGATCAGAAATCTCGAAAAAAATGTGAAATCGAGAAAAACAGAAAATTTAGGGTTGGAACATCAAAACCTGGTAACAAAGTGGCTCTGATACCACATGATAGACTCCTAGATGAGGATCTATTCCCAAGAACACACTTTGTTGGTTTTGAACATGAAGGATGCAGCGGAATGGAAGAAGAGCGAGATCGTAGGTGGAAGATGAACGGACAAACGGATGAACTGTTGCAGCGGATTGAAGGTGGAACGTTTTGTACTTCCAAGAGAGGTGGAAATCTCTTAGACTACGAGCTTGAATACAACTTAGATATTACACACTAAGAAGAAAACAAGTTGAGAAGATATTACACACTTCTCGGATCAAACAAGTAAAAGAGAGATTTTTGATAAAATGTTTGATGGTTTGCAAATGAGAGCTACAAAGAGAATATAAAGAAGAGGAGGATGAAGGAGAAGAGAGGAGAAGGAGAACATGCACGAGCATGCACAAGTCCACACTCATGCAAGCTCATGCAAAGTATCTAGGAAATTACAAAGGCATTAAATGCAAAGTTTGAACATAAAAATAAGATAATGGGCCAAGGCAAAGTGATGGGCCTTGGACCATGAATTGGGCTGATAAAGGGAGGCTTGAAAGTGTTACTTAGGCCTCATTAAAAACCTTGTCAAGAAAACCCATTGGGACAAAACTTGACAAGGGAAAAAGAGTGCGTAAGCAACACTTATCCCTTTACCGAGCACTTTGGGCCGTGATCATCATAAGGGAGATTTGGGCCACGTCTTCTTGCTTCTTGTCTAGCTCCCTAAGTAGTCCATTGATTGCTTGGTTGAACCTTTTGGATCTTGATCGAGTTAGAGGACCCGCCGGGACGATTAGTGCTTCCTCCGGTACAAGCTGCTCCTCGGCTACAAGTTGCTCCTCGGGTTCGTGTGGTGCGGTTGTGTTGGCCATGGTCTCATCAGGCAGGGTCGGCTCGGGTTACGACTCTGGTGTTGTCGGTTGGTGTCGCGAACGTGAGTCTTGTCGGGTTGATGCCAGGCAAATCCCTCCGGGCTCGTGGCGGCCGAGTCTGGAAACGCGTGGTTTTTTGTTGCCCACGGGTTGCGATTTCGTCGATTCGCTGCGCCAAGGTTTTGTTAGCTTTCTCTTGGTCGTCAGCTTTCTTCTGGAATTTAACCATCATATCCTTCAGTTCGGCTAGGGTCGTTGAGATTGCCGGGTCGGCTTGAGGATTCTGAGGGTTCGGAGGGTTAGGGTTCCCTCCTCCGGCTGGTGGTGTCTGAAGACCGTCTTCGTTCATCGTCCTTTTCGGTAATTGAGTTATGCGTCTTAGGGAAAGAGAATTCTAAAGTATCCCCACAGATGGCGCCAAACTGTGGAAGTCGAAACTACCACAATCGAGATTTGTCTAGGGTTCTAATTTAGGGATACGATTTGCGAGAATTCTCAAAGAACGACAGAATCAATTGATACCAAAGATGGTGTTCTTGATATTATTAAGAAAAAGATGACTTTGATCGTACAAGAATTTGATCGTAAAAGAAAAAGATGTTTGTGCTCTGAGAGCTTTGCGTAGTGTAGATTCTAGAGCGATATTGCTTGTCTTCTGTGAGAGCCTTGAGTCTCTTTATATAGGGGTGATAAACCGCCTTTCCAGCGATATTCTCGGAAGATTTCCATTTATCTTGAAGTCGGCGCAGAATATCGCGGATTTGGCTAATTTCCTTATTCTTCGGAGTTTTCGGAAGATTTCCCGATTTGAGTTGATCTTCGAAGGTTCTTTTTTATCATTTCCGGGTATATCGGAAATGATCCTTCTTTTCGGAAATGATGCCTTGCTTGGAAATGGTACTTTGAGGGTAAATATTTCACCAAGTCTTCGCTTCAAGTGGTTGATGATCTCACCTCGGGCGACTTACGGTCTCGCCTCGGGTGATTCAGAGACTTCCTGGTGTTCGGCTCGGATAAACAATGTGACATTATGCCCGAGCCGAAATATTTGTCGGGCTCGGGTATTCGTAGGAGAAACGGGCTTAGGAACCCGACCCATGGATGGGTTCGGTCGTTCAGACATCAAAAAGAATCGGCTCGGTTGACCGAATCGTGAACGGGCTCGGGTATTGGATTGATGGGCTCGGGTACCCAAGTTGGTTGGTAGTCCCGAACCGGCAGTGAGGATGCCCGAACCGATCCGTGCGTGATCCCGAGCTGTTTGGTCAGAGTTCCCCGAGCTGATTTAGTGATAGGTCCCGAGGCGTTCTCATAGCTCGGACTTAAAGCGGGTGGAATCCGACCCCAACATATATGTAGGTGGGCCAGCGGAAGAATTGTTACTGGATCGGGCCCAATTTAAATGCCCAATAAGAAAAATATAGTCGCTAAAACGTAGCTCAATAGTAGCCCTATATAGTGACTAAACATTCAGACGCTAATTCGTTGCCAAATTTGGCGACTAATCAAAGACTATTTTTATCAGTCGCCAAGTGCAGACGGATTGGCGACTAATGTTGTTTAGGCAACATTCAGTCGCCAAAATGTCGCTATTCAGTCCTCAAATTAAGCGACTAACTAATCAGTCGCTAATTACGTGTTTTCTTGTAGCTAGGAGTTGTAATTTTAAGTGACAATGATCAAAGTGATGACAATGCTGCAAGTATCAGTGATAAAGAGTTTCATGAAAATTACGAAGCCTTATATGAGCACTGGCTTAAAATGGTTCAGGAAAATTCATTCTTAACTAAGGAGAAGATTAAGTTAGAGGCTAAGGTTGTTGAAGCACATAATATGTGGCAGAAAAAGAAGAAGAAGCAGCACAAGCTAAAGTACAACTTGAAGAAACTCTAAAGAATTTGAGGATGCATAATAATAGCACAAAGAAGTTGGATCATATTCTGAATATATGAAAGACTCATAAGTGTGGCCTTGGATTTAAAGGAAGTATTTCAAAATCGGATTCGGTGTTTGTTTATGGTGGAAAAATCACGTCTGCATCAGAAAGTGTGTCAGAAACTGCAACTGTGGCAGAGACGGCATCTGATACGAGAACTACTACGAGAAGTGGTACAAAGACTGCATCAGCTTTCAGGAAAATTCTAGAATTGAAGAATGCACCTCGACGAATTTTTTGACCTGTTTATCATCATTGTGGAGTTGTTGGGCATATTAGGCCAAGATGTTTCAGATTGTTGAGGGAGAGAAATCGAATGGAGAACACTTACGATGTGAGATTTTGTGGTCCTACATGTTATCATTGTGGAGTTCAAGGACATATTAAGAGGAATATTTTCAGATTCATTTGAGAATTCAGTTATTAAGGTTTAAGGCGCAACAAGATTTGGGTTAGGAAAGATGATTTCTATGGAGGTGGTGTACTAGGCTATCAACCTCGTATTGCAAAGCGGGGAGAATTTTCCAAGTAGTTTTGACCATGTTGTGACTCATTCAGGGGGAGAATGATGATGTGTTTCTTGATGTTGTTTTGGAGTTAGAACTGTTGAGTTCACAAACATAGTCAACAAGGGCGAGAATGAAGATGTAGTTGCTGCTGATGGAGTTGTTGAATGAGTCAAGAAGTAATACAAGATTTTGTCTAATGGAGTTGCTGAATGATTCAAGAAGTAATTCAAGATGCGACTGTTTTTGTGTGAGTTTTGGTTTCTAGAAGATTTGAGAAGATATGTTTGGAGCTTGTTTAGAGGACGAATCAAAAAAGAAAAATGACGTAAAGATATTTGGAAGACTTGATGAAAGTGGAGTTTGATGAAAAAAAAAAGGAAAAGTGTAAAAGGAAATTTACTTTTCCTTATGGAATTTGGAAATTTTTTTTTTTGTTGATTAGGAAACCGTTTTGGCTATATAAAGAGGAGCTGAGGACGTCTTGGAGAAGTAAGAGAGATGAGGCATATAGACAAATCATTGAGAGCTTTCTGAGGGTGTGTGCGACATAGTTTCGGGGTTTGATGCTTGTGTGATCTAGCTTATTTGTCTGTTGGTGTAACGTTCGTGTGTGACGGTTGGTCCAGAGATTTGAAGTATTGAAGTCTAGGCTCCAGAGGAGTTTCACTCAGGGTTAGGTTATCCTGATTATCTAGACTCATGAGAAGTTTAGTTAAGGATAGAGATTATCCTTAAGGTTTCACGTTATAAAAAAGAGCGGTAAATCAAGAGGGTTGTGCTTGTTTTACGCATTCATACATGGCTGGTTGGAAATTGGAAATACAGTCATACATGATGTGTAATTGTGTACGATTGCAATTTTAGTTTTGGATTTAATGTTATGTATTTAGAGTGTTAAGGTAATATTATATTTATAAGAATCTGGATCTTCTTCTAGCATCAAACATTAGAAAGCTATTTTGCCTACAAAGCCAATCTTCACATGCTAACAACTGGCTTTTCACGTTATCATATAATTAACTCAATTTAATCAAATGATTGTTGACTAATGTTTGATTTCAAGTGACATAACAATAGACAAATTAAAAATTATAAAATATTAAAACATTGTCTCCGCACTTGATGAAAGCTTTGACAAACTGTTGAACTCCCAAATCTGGTTACCTTCATCAGCAATGGCGCTAAAAATAATCAAGATCTCCCGAGTCAGCCCCGCAACTGATTCATCCTGCGACTCAGTTGATCCGCTGGTTCTCCCTCTCACTTTTTTCGACTTGCGGTGGGTAAGATCCCATCCTACCCAGCAAGTCATCTTCTACAAACTCTTTAAGTCATCTCGTGAGTTTTTCTACTCCGTCATTCTCCCGAGGCTTGAGCTTTCTCTCTCGCTTGTCCTCCACCACTACATCCCGTACGCCGGTCACCTCACGTGGGATCCACAAAATCCAAAGCCCCACATTGTTGTCTTCGGCCACGACACTGTCTCGCTGACAGTGGCGGAGTCCGATGCTGATTTTTTATTTATTTCTAGCAAGGGACTACGTCCCCAGTCGGAATTACGTGTCTTGGTGCCCGAGTTATCGGTTTCGTGTGACTCGACCTCTCTATATTCTTTGCAAATAACATTGTTCCCCAACCAAGGGTTTTGCATTGGCCTAGCGGAACATCATGTTGTCAAAGACGGCGTAGGGTCAATAATGTTTATCAAATCATGGGCTCATATTTGTAAATTACTAGGACATAGAACTTTGACGTTACCTTGTCTTCCCAAGGATTTGACTCCAATTTTAGATCGTACTCTCATCAATGTCCCGCCCGGTCTTGAATCAAAGATTATGCAATCAATATGGTACTTCTCCGATGAAAAAGATGGCAAGAGAACCCTAAGGCCGCCTCCAACAGGGCATATCAGTACCGATCTTGTTCGGATCACACTCCAGCTGACTCAGGAGAAAGTCAAGAACCTTAAGGAGCAAGCCAAGCGAGAGTCAGCTCGCTCTCTTCATGATCTTTATTTGTCAACATTCGTCGTCACAACCGCTTATCTCTGGAGCTGCCTGGTAAAGACGCGCGGTGACAGTGAAGAAAGGCCAGTGCTTTTCATGTATGCAGCCGATTTTAGGAACCGGTTAGATCCACCGGTTCCAGAGAGGTACTTTGGGAACTGTGTGTTCCCTATTGGTTGCTTTGGATACAAAGCAAAGCCATTTTTGGGAAGAGACGGTTTCATCAACGCTATCGAGATTCTTGGAGACTCAGTCAAAAGTTTGGGTTCACAAGGAATTGAAACACTTTGCGAGTTGTATATTGATGGAACGAAGCAGGTGAAACCGGGTACTCAAGTTGACTCTGTTTCGGGGTCGAACCGGACTGGGGTATACGGGTCAGATTTCGGATGGGGTAAACCCGTAAACCATGAGATTGTGTCCATTGACCGGTATGCAGCGTTCACGATATCGGAGAGGAGGGATGAGATAGGTGGCGCTGAGATCGGTTTGTGTTTGAAGAAGAGTGAGATGGATACATTTATGTCTTTGTTTAATTATGGTTTGGACATTATTGTATCACGTATTTAGTGGTGCCTGCTTGCAAATTTGTCTTTTTGAATGAAAAAAATTGTTGCAATATTAAGCACAACACATTACACATATGTCATTGCTCTTGGTCAAGTAACGTTTTCCATGCATAATTTTTAAGTTTTGTTAAAGTAACCTTATTTATGTATAATCCGGATACTAAAATTTGATGCATACATTAGATACGGCTCCGTCACCCAATTTTAATTGTTTCAACTTAAAAAGTGAGGTTAAAAGGATTTTGGAAGAGGAGTATTCTAATTGTTTTTCCTAAAAAGATATCTTGTTAAGATCATCTTTTATTTATAAAAAGAAAATCGGTTTTAAACTGCAAATTGTGGAAAGTTTAGTTTTAATGTAGGTTTAAAAGTTTTTAATCAAAATGATTAATCACGTATTGCTCTTGGCGTCTTGGCCTCTTGCCTCTTGGTCGAGTAACGTTTTCCTTGAAGAGTTTCCAAATTTTGTCTAATTAACCTATATAAAACTAGATGCTAAATTTCAATGCATTCGATAAGGCTTCTTCACCCAATTTCTTTTGTTTGAACTTAAAATTTGAGGTGAAAAACAAAGTTGAAGGACGGTATTCAATTTTTTTTTTCTGTGTAAAAAAAAAAAATCATATTGACAAGCTCTTAAATTGGTTATAATAAACTGCAAATTGTGGGAAGTTCAGTTTTATTTTAATCTAGACCGATACTGAAGCATCTCTAAAAATTTTAAAATTCAACCACAAAGTTTATTAAAAGCCCTTACCAAACATACCCACTTGCTAACAGCTGGTCTGACTCTGGAGTCTGGAGTTATATGGAGTATTAAATTTGCTCCATTTAATTTAGTTATTTGATTTGTAAATGAATAAAGTTTGATTTTGCAGGAAAATGAATCTGGCGTGATATATTATTAATAGGCCCTACGAAATAAGAAAGCATTAACTGAAAATATAAATATAGTTTATTTGTGACCAAAGCAAAAGAAAAATCTTGTTTATTTACCATCTAGAGAGAGCTGATCGATCGCTGCCTACTCATCATCAATGGCGCTAAAGGTAACCAAGATCTCCCGAGTCAGCCCGGCAAGAAACTCGTCTAATGACTCAGCCCACTGGATGGTTCTTCCACTGACATTCTTCGACTTACGGTGGTTAAAATTCCATCCGACCGAAAGAGTTATCTTCTATAAACTCATCAAAAACTCATCTCTTGAGTCATTCCTCACCGTGATCCTCCCCAAACTTGAGCTCTCTCTCTCCATCGTCCTCCGTCACTACCTCCCGCTTGCTGGCCGCCTCACATGGGGCTCACAAGATCCTATACCTAGCATCGTCGTCTCTTGGAATGACTATGTCTCGTTGACAGTCGCGGAGAGCGATGCTGATTTTTACCTTATCTCCGGTAAAGGGCTACGTCCCGAAACGGAGATACGATATTTGGTGCCCGAGTTTCCGCTTTCTTGTGACTCACTATTAGTAACCATGGATCGAGAGACAAACATGGTGAAATCTCTGATTCTCATTAATGATCAAGAAAGGTTGTTACAACAATGTATAGTAAACAAACCAACTAAACCAGAATTAAACCAATGAAATCACCTTAATTAGATGATTATTTAGGTGGTTAAACCGGACATTCCAGAGCCCTTAACCGTAAGCTATTATCTACAAGTATTATCAATATGTGACTAACTATATGATTCTAATAGCATCCCTCAAGATGGCAGTGGTGCATAGATGTTGCAAACACCCATCTTGGCAATAAGCTCCCGAAATGGTGCCGGATACAATGCTTTGGTTAAAGGATCTGCTAATTGTTCTTCAGTCTTCACATACATAGTCTTAAGAAAACCAGAATCAATCTGCTCCCTGGTCTTGTAACAGTCAAGTTCCACATGCTTTGTTCTCTCATGAAATACTGAATTGTTAGCAATGTGAATCGCAGCAGTATTGTCACAATAAAGATAAGCAGGAGGCTTGAAAGGAACTTTGAAGTCATTAAGAAGCCTAGAAAGCCAAATCATTTCCTTAGTACCAGAAGACATTGCTCTAAACTCTTGACTCTGCAGAACTCATAGAAACTGAATCTTGCTTTTGTGAACGCCAAGAAACCAGAGAGTTACCAATGAACATGCAGTAGCCAGTAACTGATCTTCTATTGTTTTTACAAGTTCCCCAATCAGCATCAGTATAACCTCGGAGATCAAATGTATCATCTGCAGGATAAAACAGACCCTGCCCTGCTGTTCCCTTCAAATATCTCAAGACTTTATGCACAACAGTCAAATGAATGTCTCTTGGATCATGTGAGAATTGGCATAAAGTATTGACAGCAAAAGCAATATCTGGTCTTGTTAACTGCAAATACATCAATTTCCCCACCAGCTTTCGATATGCGGATGGATCACTTACAGGAACTCCAACATCCTTCCTTAGTTTCACACTTGGATCCATAGGAGCAGCAGATGGTTTACTTCCAAGAAAACCAGTTTGAGAAAGCAATTCCAAAATGTATTTTCTCTGACAAATTGAAATACCTTCATCAGTTCTGGCTATCTCCAAACCAAGGAAGTACTTTGCTGTACCAAGATCTCTTAATTTGAAAAACATCTTCAGTTCTTCTATAAATCCTGCCACTGCAGCATCACTATTACTGACAATCAAGATATCATCCACGTAGACTAGAACACCAAGAAAAACTCCATCAACATACTTGGTAAACAAAGTATGATCAGCATTAGATTTCCCAAATCCCATGGTCTTCAGAGTTGCAGAAAGCTTGAGAAACCACTGTCTCGAGGCTTGTTTAAGTCCATAAATGGATTTGTGCAATCTACACACAGCATTAGGAGGTAAAGCCTCTCCTATAAGATCTGCATAACCAGGGGGAACCTTCATATATATCTCTTCATCCAAATCACCATTCAAGAACGCATTAGAAATGTCAAGCTGATGAATTGACCATCTCAACTTAGCAGCCAACAATAACATCATTCTCACTGAAGTTAACTTGGCAACAGGAGAGAATGTTTCCTCATAATCCAAACCCTCTTGTTGAGTATAACCTTTTGCTACTAAGCGCGCCTTGTATCTTTCTATACTTCCATCTGCATTATACTTGATTGTAAAGACCCACTTACAACCAATAGCCTTCTTATTCGCTGGCAAACAACAAATACTCCATGTGCGAGTTCTTGTCATAGCACCAATCTCCTCCTTCATAGCAGTACACCATACATCAAAGTCTTTTGCCTCTGAATATCTTTGTGGGATTATATCATTTGTGATGGTATTAATGAAAGCACGAAAAGGCTCAGCTAGATATGAATAAGAAACATAATTTGTGATTGGATAGAGTATATTAGGATTAATACTAGTAGTATTATTATAACAAAGGAAATCCTGCAAGTGTTTTGGGGGTTTCTTTTGTCTAGTAGACTTTGACTCAGAAGGAATCAAAGCCTTAGAGGATGACACATCTTGATGGGGATGTGCATCAGGAATTGATGTTTGCACAAGAGGCAAATCATCGGTTTGGGCAGGAAACTGTAATAGAGGAAAGAAAGCTTTCATATCATCAGTGATAGTAGATGATAAGAAGGGAAAAATATCCTCATGAAAAATGACATGTCTTGAAATAGAAACGGCATGTGTCTCTATGTCTAATAGCTTATACCCTTTATAACCTGTGGGATATCCTAAGAAAACACAAGCTCTAGCCCTAGGTTCAAACTTATTTCTATGCTTAGGGGATGTTGAACTATAACATAAACACCCAAAAGTCTTTAAAGATTCATAAGTAGGAGCCGTATTGGTAAGCTTTTCATAAGGAGATTTATTTTCCAAAACAGGTGTGGGAAGTCTATTTATTAAGAACACAGCTGTTAATATACAATCACCCCAGAATTCTAATGGAATATTGGATTGAAATAAGAGGGCTCTAGCAACATTTAAGATATGTTGATGCTTTCTCTCTACCACAGAATTTTGTTCTGGAGTTTCAGGACATGAATGATAAGCAATAATTCCATTTTCAGCAAACAAATCATTGAATTTTAATTCATGTGCATTATCAGATCTAACCGATTTAACTTTCTTCTGAAATTGCGTTTGAATCATATTAATGAAACTAGGAAAAACATGCAAAACATCTGATTTATTCTTTAGTAAATAGACCCAAGTAGCTCTACTATAGTCATCAACAATTGTTAAGAAGTATTTAAAACCATCTATAGTAGGAACAGAAAATGGACCCCAAGTATCTATATGAACTAAATCAAATGCAGATTTACACATGTTTTGTCTAGATTTAAAGATAAATGTTTCTGTTTTGACAAGTGACAAACATGACAAACAGGTAAAGAGTCTTTATTTATCTTTATATCTTTGAGATTCAAAACATCAGATAACAAATCAACTTTTGAATGAGCAGGGTGACCTAATCTCTTATGCCATGTATAGGAATCAACAACAACAGAAGAACAAACAGAAATTTCAGAGCATATAGTATTGGTACCTTTTAAAGAAACATAATGATTAGACTCATTGAAATCCAAGACATATAGATTGCCAACTTGACTACCTTTTCCAATCATTAACTCCTGTGTAAGTTCCTGAACAAAACATTCATCAGATGTAAAGCTAACTTTCGATTTTAAAGTCTTTGTTAAAACACTGACACTGATCAAGTTAAATTTAAACTCAGGAATATAAAGCACATTGTGGAGAGAGATTGCATCAGATAGCTTAATGTATCCTATGCCCACTATTCTAACAGTACAATCATTAGGGAGTCTTACAAAGGTATTGTCTAAGGCTCTAAAATCTATATAAAGGCTTCTATTATGTGTAACATGATGAGTAGCCCCTGAATCTATTACCCAAGCTCTAGGAGACACAGCCGGTTCTTTAGAGATAGAAGAAATGAGCATGTCATAGTAAGAATTAGAGTATAAAGCCAGAAAGGTACCTGAAATCTGAGAAATCACAGGTACAGAAGTTGAAGTCGAGGCACAAGACTGAGTCTGTATAGGTTCCACTGATGTAGTATGAAGCTTGTTGCTAAGATAAGAAATCACAGTCTGTATCTGATCATTTGACAACTCTTCATAATCTTTCTTTTCACTAGATTGATCAACCACTGGTGGGAGTTGTGTCACAGCAGCAAGATTTGTAGTCCCAATAGTCTGAGCCTTCTTCCACTTAGCTCCAGGAGGGTACTCATGCTGTTTGTAACATTTGTCAGCAGTATGACCAAGCTTGTGACAGTAGGAACATTTAGGCTTCTGATATGAACCTTGAGTCAAGTTGACATGAGACTGGTCAGATGTTTGTGACGCTTGAACCTGAAATGCTGCAGCCGGACTGGAGAGAATAGAAGTATGAGAACCTCCTACAATCCGCTGACTCTCATCTTGGTCAAGCATGTTGTATATCTCTGTCAAACATGGTCTTGGCTTCATATTTAGAATCTGTCCTCTGATATGAGCAAAACTATCATTTAAGCCCATAAGGAACTGTATGATCTTGCTAGTTTCAGCTTCTTCAATCAATTCTTTAACATGATCACAGTTACATTTCTTCACCGAAATAACTCTAGTATTAGCCAATTGTTCCCAGAGTGTTTTCTTCTTGGTGTAATAAGTTGACAAATCCAAGTTACCTTGCTTCAAGGTATGAATAGATTGTTCTAACTGATACTTGTGTGGAAGATTACTGACACGAAACCTCAGAAAAAGATCATTCCACATCTCAGCAGCATCCTCATAGTATAGAATACTATCATATATTTCCTTATTCACTACATTCAACATCCATGCTTTAACCATGCTATTACACCTACTCCATATCTTGAACATACGATTATCAATTTCAGGTCGCGGAAGAGATCCATCAACAAAACTCAGCTTATTCTTTGCATCCAAACTCATCTTCATAGCAATTGACCAGTTATTGTAATTCGTTCCATCAAGAATGTGTGAGACAATAGACAGACCTGGATGATCAGAAGAGTCAAGGAAGAACGGACTATGCGCGTTAGCAAACGAGTCAATCTCTGCGGAAATCGATTGAATCTTGTCTCGCGCAGCCGTGTAAGTAAGAGAAGGAGCATCCACGATGTCATCGGCCACTGGATACGAAGATCCAGCTCGAGTCTTCATCGGAGAGTACTCTGAGACCGGAGATTTGTTCCGATTTGGTGTTTTCTTCTTTTGTTTCCCCATGACGAGTGAATCGAAGCTCAAATGTGCGATAAGAAGCTAAATCAGAAGCTCAGAAGGTGATTATGCTCCGTTTAAGCTCAAATTTGACACAGATCCGGAATCGATGCAACAATCCGCCGGTGAAAAACGAAGAAGATGAAGAAAAACAATGAGAAATCGATGAGAAATCGAAGAAATTCAGAGAAACGCAAGCAAAAAATGCTCTGATACCATATTAGTAACCATGGATCGAGAGAGAAACATGGTGAAATCTCTGATTCTCATTAATGATCAAGAAAGGTTGTTACAACAATGTATAGTAAACAAACCAACTAAACCAGAATTAAACCAATGAAATCACCTTAATTAGATGATTATTTAGGTGGTTAAACCGGACATTCCAGAGCCCTTAACCGTAAGCTATTATCTACAAGTATTATCAACATGTGACTAACTATATGATTCTAATACTCACCTTCGGTTCTTTCTTTGCAAATCACTTTGTTCCCGAACCAAGGGTTTTGTATTGGTATATCAGCTCATCATTCTGTTATGGACGGCAAAACAGTGGTTAGGTTTATCAAATCATGGGCTCACATTTGTAAACATGGAGCCACTGATTTACCGAATGATTTATGTCCGTTTTTAGATCGTACGGTTATCAATGTTCCTGCAAGTCTCGATGCAAAAATCTTTGAACTTTTGTCACATTTTTCAGAAGAGAAAGATAGCCTCAGATCACTGAAGCTGCTTCCTACCAAAGAGATCAGCCCCGACCTAGTCCGGATCTCGCTCGAGTTGACTCGAGAGAATATAGAGAAACTTAGAGAGCGAGCCAAGAAGGAGTCAACTCGCTCTCATCTTGAGCTTCACTTGTCAACGTTCGTTGTTGCAAACGCGTACCTGTGGACATGCTTAGTGAAGACGCGTGGGGGAGATGTGAACAGGCCGGTGCGTTTCATGTATGCTGCTGATTTGAGGAACCGGTTAGATCCACCGGTTCCTGAGACGTATTTCGGGAACTGCGTGTTCCCGATAGGTTGCTTTGGTTACAAGGCGAAGGTACTTTTGAGAGAAGATGGATTTGTCAACGCGATCGAGATTCTAAGTGATTCAGTTAGAAGCATTGGTTCACGAAAGATTGAAACAATTTGCGAAAGGTACATAGATGGAACAAAGAGTGTGAAACCTGGTACACAGTCTGGATCCATTGCCGGTTCGAACCATTTTGGGCTATATGGATCTGATTTTGGGTGGGGAAAACCCTGTAACAGTGAGATTGTGTCCATCGACCGGAACGAGGCGTTTTCTATGTAGGAGAGGAGGGATAAGCCCGGAGGTGTGGAGGTCGGCTTGTGTTTGAAGAAATGTGAGATGGATATATTTATTTCTCTATTTCAAAATGGTTTGCAAATGGTTCTCTAGGATCTTGGATATGGAAAAAGCTCTTTGAACTCCGGGATCAAGCGACTTGTATTTTTGGAGACAGTTTGGAAAGAGTTAGTTTCTCATGACCCTCTTATAAAAAGTCATTCTAACATATTGTATTTCAATGGATCTTAAGGGAAATGCCTGTCAAACCTACCTAAAAGATTCAAGACATGTGGACAGTTGTAGGTCGTGGCAAACACGGTCGTAGTGGCCGTGGAGGCCGAGGTCCCAACCATTAGCGAGTAGTGACATTCATCACTAAACTATACAATTAATCTTTATGTGTATGATTTGCTTCTGCTCTACTTTTAAAAACTATATGACCCAATGTCATATCAGTACTTGCCACTTATACATTTTAATGAACAACCAATATCTATATATAATAGCAATCTCAATAAATGCCTTTGTACCTCTGAACGGTTGCGTCTTTTTATCGCAACCTTTCGTTTAAATATTTACGGTTGTTTCTTTCTATTGAATTTTCTCTTTGAGTTTTCGTTGAATTATTTACAGTTATATTTTTGTTCAATTATAATCGTATCTTTTCAGTTTACGATTATATATTTATAGTTACATTTATTCATTTAAAGTTACGTCTTTCCATTATATATTTTTCATTGCTTTTTTTGTTTAGTTAGTAATACTACGAAATTGTTTACATAAACCATTAGACTACATATAAAATTGGTTTTATTAACCAAAATAACAATCTCAGTAAATGCATTTTGCACTTCTGAACGGTTGTGTCTTTTTATCGTAACTTTCTGTTAAAATATTAGAGGTTATTTTTCAGGATATGTTTTTTCTCGCAACTCTTCGTTAAAATATTGACGTTTACTTTTTTTTGTTGACGGTTATTTTTCGATTGTGTCTTTTTATTGCAACTTTTCGTTACAATATTGGCGGTTACTTTTTTTGTTTGTGTCTTTTTATCGCAAATTTCCGTTAAAATATTGACGGTTATTTCTTCTCAGTTGTATCTTTTTATCGCAACTCTTCGTTAAAATATTTACGGTTACATCTTTTGTTGATGGTTATTTTTTCGGTAGTGTCTTTTTATCTTAACTTTTCCTTAAAATATTGACGGTTAATTTTTTTGTTTGTGTATTTTTATCGTAACTTTCCGTTAAAATATCAACATCGACGGTTATTTTTTCTCTGTTGTGTCTTTCTATCGCAACTTTCTGTTAAAATATTGACGGTTATTTTTTTTTGTTTTGTCTTTTTATCGCAACTTTCCGTTAAAATATTGACGGTTATTTTTTTTCAGTTGTGCCTTTTTACCGCAACTCTTCGTTAAAGTATTTACGGTTACATTTTTCGTTGATGCTTATTTTTTCGGTTGTGTCTTCTTATCGTAAATTTCTGTTAAAATATTGACATCTACTTTTTTCGTTTGTGTATTTTTGTCGTAACTTTCCGTTAAAATATCGATAATTATTTTTTCTCTGTTGTGTCTTTCTATCACAACTTTCCATTAAAATATTAATGGTTTTTTTTTTCTCGGTTGTGTCTTTTTATCACAACTCTTCGTTAAAATATTGACGGTTATTTTTTCGTTGACGGTTATTTTTTCGGTTTTGTCTTTTTATCATAACTTTCAATTAAAATAGTGACAGTTATTTTTTTCGTTTGTGTCTTTTTATCGCAACTTTCCGTTAAAATATTGACGATTGTTTTCGATTGTGTTTTTTTATCGCAACTCATCATTAAAATATTTATGGTTACAGTTTTCGTTGACGGTTGTTTTTCCGGATGTGTCTTTTTATCGTAATTTTCCGTTAAAATATTGACATTTACTTTTTTGGTTGTGTCTTTTTATTGAAACTTTCTGTTAAAATATTGACGGTTATTTTTTCTCTGTTATGTCTTTTTATCTCAACTTTTCGTTAAAATATTGATGGTTATTTCTTCGGTTATGTTTTTTATCGCAACTCTTCGTTGAAATATTGACGGTTACTTTTTCGTTGACCGTTATTTTTCCGGTTGTGTTTTTTATGTCTTTTTTATTTTGACCCGCTAGAATTTTTCATCTCTATATTATAACTCTTCGTTATGTATTTGTCATTTATAAATAATTTTATATTCATAAAAAATGTTTCAAAAGTGTTTATAATCATAATTCTTCTTTTTTACATTTTTATTCATAAATTGTTTTAACATCTTTGGAAAATATTTATGTAATAATTCAAATATTTAATATATTATCATAATAATTTAATAAATAAACACAATAAAATATATTGTTGAAAATGAGTTCTCCCGCGATATCGCGGGGGTTCATAACTTAGTAATCATATATATGAAAGTTGGTCAACTCTCTCCATATGAGTGACACATCATCACTTTAGCATTTGACATGTGTCTACTAATAATTAATGTAAGTTAGTGGAACATATATTATTTAATTATACATATTATAAAAATTAATATATTTAATTGTATTAATACTAATTATATTTAATTATTATTTCTTTTTTCTTCAATATAATTATTTTATTGGGGTTTCTCATACTCCGGAATTTTTTGAGTAGATTATTCTCTTAAAAACTTTTCTATATAATATATTAAAAAATGGTGAGGAGAACGTCAGAACCTCTAACATTGGACTAAAATCCTCAATGATGGAGTTCTTCAGTGATGGAGTTCGTATTGTTTTAGTTGTTTTTGCAAAAGTGGCAACGATAAAAATTTAAAGACGAGAATTATTTTACATTTATGTTTCGACAAATCAATAAGGCTTATCAATGTTTGGTTCTATTTGTTTATTTGCTACAAACTAATAACATCGTTGTTCAAACGAAACGACAGCCTAATTATCAATGCTTAACATTTGTACCTAAATACCATGATCATTGATTTAAGTGCGGGTACTCCAATCTTCTTTGCATTTTGTCTTCTTCTTTTGGTTTAAGGATAACAGTAATGAAAGAATATTATAAAAAGATAATGTGTAGTGAGAACAGTTTTTTATTAGGAATCAATGTAAATGCAAAAAAAAAGTAAATTTATATGCTTAGTATCAGGGTAATCTCGTTTATAAGGGAAATTTTGTCTTATTGCCTATTAACAAAAACTAACCTAATGTTTACATTAATATACTTATAATTATGAAATATAAAGTGAAAACACGCACGTAGTGCGGGTACTCACCTAGTAATAATAATAAAAAAACATATTATATTTCAAAATAAGCTGGCTGCTTTCCTTCACAGTGGAAATATAGTTTTTGGACAGGACTGGATCTATGTTGAATTGGACATTTGAAAATCCTCCAAATAGCCTCTGACGCAGATACATATCTATGGACGAAAGATTATTTAAAATATGAGTATTGAATCTTGAGGTTAAAAATCCCAGAGAAATTAAAAGTCATAAAAAGACAAAAACTAACCTGCAGTCAAACCAATCTTTGATTTCATTCTTCTTTTTCTCAGTGGAAACTGGTTCTTCACCAGGAGTTGTTGTTGTTTCACTAGCTGCAGACTGCTTTACTGGCTCTACAATGAATACAACTTTATCTGGTCCTTTGTTGATATACTTAAATAAATATTTGATAGAACTGTTCTGATTGCACCATTCCACGTTGATATGAGCATTATATCGCAGGAATAGCTTTTTATTATAAGGCACAACATACCTATTATCATATTTGATGCCACCTTACCTTCTTGTCGTGTCCTTCATAAACTACAAAACTTGTATCTTCCTCACAATAGATGTAAAAACTCAAATCAACATAAATTTCATTGTTGGGATCTTTTACACCTCTAAGAAGGGACACGTTGCTTTGACCACGATCTGGCGGCTCTCTCTTAATCTGCCGGTGACAATTTCCTGGATAAATAGATACACCGTGGTTTCTCTTATCTATATGTGCATTTTCATCCTGCTCCTCAAGGTTGTTGAAGACTTGAGCTTGTTCTTGTGATGAAAATTTTATGTAGTCCACTCTGTGACTTTCAATAAAATCTTCACAAGCATTTCTTCATAGTGACTTCCACAAAATTTTCATCGCGGACATCATAAAACGGATCACAGATATTAGAGACAAAATCTATAGTTTTGACGTCTTCTACCGAGCCGTCAAACTTTGGCACTACAAAACTGGTGTTGTTTACATCTTGAATCTGATCATCATACCCCAGAGGATCTCTAATAAGATCTTCACAAGTGATGTCGTCGTGTTCATCATACACGTCACCGATCAGGCCATCATCTTCGTTGTAAACGTCAAGAACATCACCGTCTTTGTCTTCACTCTGGTATAGCTGCTCATAACGATCACGAACAGGCTCACCGACGAAGTCGTTGTCTTGAAACTGACAATTATCGGTGAAATCATCCACAAATCGCGCTACTTTTTCAAATTCTTCAAAGGATAATACATCGTATGATCGTAATTACGAGGTAAAAAGTGTGCGCATAACTTCTGCTTTAGTTTAGCCCATGATTTAATAGGACTCTTGCCAGCTTGCTTGCGTGTTGTCTTCACTTGATGCCACCATGATGCTGCTTGTCCTCGAAATTTCTTAACCACAAGCGAAACCAATCGATCTTCTGAAACCCTTTGAAACTCCAAAATTTCTTCAACATCAACAAGCCAATATCTAGTAACGAATTACTAGAAATTCCACCGTGGAACTTGGGAATATCCACCTTTAAATTGGCTTCCCATATTCTGTCTTTTGAAGCCATCGTTGTAAGGAAATCAAACCACCAGGAACGAGATGAATCTGATACCAACTGATAGAGAGCGGAAGCTAAATAACGGACGAGAACACAAGATCTCTAAGAGAAGTCGGATTCACGAACGGATCTTGCCTAGAACGTCAAAACTTGACGAAAAAGCAATAGAGATAGGGTCGAGATCGGTTCTAGGGAACGATATCGACGGGGTTTTGAAAGTCCTCCTTGCAGGGCTTGAACACAAGCTCTTAGGGTTGAGAGTCATCCTCTCTAGGCTTTACACAAAGCTCTCTTAAAACTAGTTTATTCAATAATCAAAAGCTAATTACAATAATGAATTATACGTTTCTTTAAATAAGAGAAAGAGAATGAATTCAAGAGAAGATATTGATAATTCTAATCGCCTGATTGTTGATGAGTTGAGATACAACCGTGATGGTAAATTGACAGAAAAGCATGCAGAGTGGATACATATGCTAACTCCTGAGCAGAGAGGTATCTACAATGAGATTACTGGTGCTGTTTTCAATAATTTAGGAGGAGTGTTTTTTGTTTATGGAATTGGAAGAACTGGTAAAACGTTTGTTTGGAAGACACTATCAGCTGCGATTAGATCTAGAGGACATATCGTTTTTAATGTCACCTCAAGTGGCATTGCTTCATTGTTGTTAGAAGGAGGTAGGACTGCACATTCTAGGTTTTCAATCCCACTGACTCCTGATGAGTTTTCAGTTTGCAAGATCCAGCCTAAATCTGACCTAGCAGATCTGATCAAAGAAGCATTTCTAATTACATGGGATGAAGCTCCAATGATGACCAAGTTTTGCTTCGAAGCTTTAGACAAAAGCTTCTGCGATATTATGAAAAATGTCAACAACAAGGTTTTTGGAGGTAAGGTTGTTGTTTTTGGTGGTGATTTCAGGCAAGTTCTTCCTGTAATTCCCGGTGCAGGTAGAGCAGAAATAGTGATGTCATCTCTAAATGCTTCGTATCTCTGGTATCACTGCAAGGTCTTGAAGTTGACTAAGAACATGAGACTATTACCAAACAATTTAAGTCCTGTAGAAGCTAAAGAGATCCAAGAGTTTTCTGATTGGTTATTGGCTGTTGGAGATGGTAGAATTAATGAGCCTAATGATGGAGAAGCGCTAATAGATATTCCAGATGATTTGTTGATTACAGAAGCAGAAAATCCAATAGAAGCTATTACTTGGAAAATTTATGGAGATCCAACAAAACTCCACACCATCACTGATGCTAAATTCTTTCAAAAAGAGCTATTTTGGCACCATAAAATGATGATGTCAACACTATAAATCAATATATGGTAGAGCATTTAGAAGGTTGGTGTACCTTTACTATATGCTATTTACTTTCTAGCAAATTTGTGACGTCTAATTTATTATTTAAACATCTGACATGTGGATTTATATTGTTTACATACAGGTGATGAACGAATCTATCTATCTGCTGATAGTATAGATCCCGATGATTCTGATTCACTTAAGAATCCTGTTATCACTCCTGATTTTTTAAACAGTATCAAGGTAGCAGGTTTGCCAAACCATTCTTTGCGTTTGAAAGTTGGTTCTCCGATTATGTTTCTTAGAAATTTAGATGCTAAAGGTGGTTTATGTAATGGGACTAGGCTTCAGATTACACAGCTATGTAAGCATATTATGGAAGCTAGAGTTATAACAGGAGATGAGTTGGTGATATAGTGCCATTCAAGATGCATAGAAGGCAGTTTACACTATCTGTTGCATTTGCTATGACGATCAATAAGAGCCGGGGCCAATCTCTTGAACATGTTGGACTTTACTTGCCTAAACCTGTTTTCTCTCATGGTCAGCTTTATGTTGCGTTGTCTAGGGTTACATCTAAGAAAGGTTTGAAAATCTTAATACTAGACAAAGAAGGAAAACTTCAGAAGCAAACAACCAATGTTGTTTTCAAGGAGGTTTTTCAGAATATAGGCTAACTTGCCTAATACCATTCTTAATACTAGACAATCTTAATACTAGACAAAGAAGGAAAACTTCAGAAGCAAACAACCAATGTTGTTTTCAAGAAGGTTTTTCAGAATATAGGCTAACTTGCCTAATACCATTCTCTATGAATTGGTTCAGAGAAGGTATGTTTTCTTTACTTTAACATACTCTAATGATTTCAGTTATGGTTTGAAAAACCCCCAAGCAAATATTAACATGGAAAGAGTCTCTAATTTTCTCAGGCAGTAGGCAACCTTTCAATCAAGTAACTCAACAGCAAAAAAAGAAACTATCATTCAATAAATTATCATTTCAGACATTTGTTTTTCCACTCTTTAATTAAATTCTTATTTCTAGCTTTTTCTCTTGCATTATCTTACTTAAACATTCTACTACCATTTCAGAATTTTCGTTTACTGCTTTATCTACTCAGATTTGAAGTATGCCTACTAACCGGATATATCCATCAACTTGCATTTTTCCATCTGTGCTCTTATTAGTGAAATGCCACCGTAAGTCTTTCGCCATGTCCTCTGACCTGAACATCCTCTTGAGACGTGGAATTATCGGAAAGTACCTAAGTACTTTCTGTGGAGTACCTTTCTTCACCTCACTAGTTCGCGTGTTAATCTTCCATCGCGAAGAATTGCATTTAGGACAAATGTCGAGCTCCTGGAACTGATTTCTAAATAGACAGCAGTCGTTTACACAAGCGTGTATCTTCTCATAACCCATATCAAAAGATTTGAAAAATTTCTTCACCTCGTACAAGGATGTGTGCAATACATTATCCTTGGGTAGCATCTTTGACAAGGACTCAAGTAGAAGATCAAAACTTTTGTCTGACCAACCACCTTGCGTCTTTAGCCTAAAGAGTGAAACAATCGCAGAGAGCTTACTGTGGGTTGTGCAACCTGGATAAAGAGGTGTTTCTGCATCAGCTAGTTTTGCTAAAAACTCATCTTCTTCTTTATCATCACCCTCATCAACATCACCTTGACTAACCAGCTCTTCATCTACAAACTCAGCAGCTTTGAACAATCCTAAAATCTCTTGGTTCAACTGACTTGCGTTCTTTCTACACTCAATCCCTGATTTCACTTCTCCATGATGATACCAGTCCTCCCGCAACTTGTAACTCCTATCCATTCCCCTTCTTACAAGATGAACAACAACATCATCGGCTTAGTGACGATGTACGTTGCGACAGTCAATGCACGGGCAAATAATCATTGCATTGTCTCCTAAACCTGCAGCCACAGACCTCACAAAATCCTAGGGGTGTCAAAATGGGTAACCCGACCCGACCCAACCCAAACCCATATGGGTTTGAGTGTTTAATGGACGGGTTTGACCCGACCCATATATTTATATGGGTTGAATTTACATACCCAAACCCATTATTGTAGAAATCCATTGGCTTAATGGGTTATATGGGTACCCATATATATGTATAATAAAATATATAAATAATAAAAATCCAAAAAAATAATATAAAATTGTAAACCAACAAAAGTTTTTAAATAATAAATTAAAAAAATCTAGATATTAAAATAGAAAAGCATCCTAAAATCTTAAAACCAAAAATCCAAAGAACCATAAAACCAAATAAAAAAGAAAAAATAATCTTAAAACCATATATATAGATATTTTACATATATTTATATGAATTTTACATAATATATTAATATAGATATATATAAGTTTTACTTTTTAGTTTTGGTTATGAAACCCATGGATAACTCATGGCCCTAATGGGTTTTACCCATTAAACCCATAACCCTAATAGGGTAACCCACTAAAACCCATTTATATATATGGGTAAAAAAATTCTACCCAAACCCACTAAAACCATGGGCGGGTTCGGGTAACCCATGGGTATTAACCCATTTTGACACCCCTACAAAATCCCAAGTACCTCTCTCATAACCAGGATCGGTTCTGCAGTGAAGTAAAACAAAAGAAAAAAAAAGAATTACAAACTTTAAAAACTCTTTAACATATCAATTAAACCAATAAACACAATTACAAAACGTTTTCACATACCTGTTGAGATGAACCCATGTCTTTTCCATAACCATTATACGTGCTTACCCATAAAGAAAACAAAACAAACACATAAGAATAACACAAACACCAAACAAATACCAAACAAACACCAAACACATTCACAACAACAGTTTATTAAAACGAAATATCAAACAGCCAATTCAGTCAACTCTTAAAGAAATCAATCAAATATCAAGTTCATTGTGAATACTAGCCTCTTTGTTCCGATGCAAACAGGCAGAAGATGCAGGCAAGATGTAGGCAAGATGCAGGCAGAAGATGCAGGCAGAAGATCCGATCGATGAGATGTGATTACCTTTCAATGTTTATAACGGTCAAAAATCAAATACTAGTAAATAGTCAAGAACTCAAATACATCAATTGAATGTCGTATACCTTTCAGGTGGATGAGATCAGCTGGGTTCGAAGCTACTGAGACAGAGAAGGAGAGAAATGGATATCGGCTGAGTTCGAGGCTAATGAGACTAAGATCGCCTGATCTATTGAGACAGAGACAGAGACGACGGCGAAGAGAAACGGCGGTGGAGAAAAACGGCGGCGGAGAGAAACAGCGGCGGAGAAAGAAGGAGAAAGAGAGAGACGGAGAGTTAAGAATCGATGGAGATTGTGGTGTTGATAATCGAGATTTCTTCAATGGGAATCGAGAGTTCATGCAATGGGTATTCAGATTTCACAATAGAATCAAAAAATTTAGGAGAATGCTTTTGTTGTTAATTTTGTTTTTGGGGCTAAGGGTAAAAGACCCAATTGTTTTGCCTCCAATTGTTTTGCTATTGAGAATCGAGACTTTTTTGGTTTGGGGGAAAAACCCAATTGTTTTGCCTCCAATTACCTGTCTCCGCTATAATACTGAGTTATGTTCCCGCTTAATGAAAAATATATCCTAGCGTTAATATAATGATGCGAAATAGTTGCCATCCGATTTTGGTACTTTTAGTAGCAGTTCGTAAATTTGTGCTACAACGATCTGCTACCGAAGCTCATTTTTCTTGTAGTGTGATGGAAATCATATGGCAAATATAAGAAAAAATATTGTTGATATGTTATGGGCAAATCAAAATACTTTTCATTAAATTTAATTTGTTTTTGCTTATTTGTTGTCTTCTTTTTTTTACTCCTATGTGTTGTATTTGGATATTTATGTTTAATATTTTAAAATTATTTAATAGATGAATATATTTTACTTTTATATGATTTTATTTATACATACCATAATATATTATAAAATTATATAGAATAAAATCAACAATAAACTAAAATACTTTGTATTATAATAATAATAGTATTAAAAATAAAATTTTATTTTATATATTTGTTTTTAATAAAGTTTATAACAATATGTAGTTCTTAATAATTTTCAATTATTTTGTGTACTATTTATTATTTAATAATTTGATCTGCACAGGTTGAACCGCTTTCACCACTCGAATTCATATGTGAACTGCTTGAGCTGCATGATCTGCATTTGTCCTACATGATTTGTATGTTCTGCACTTGTCGTGCATATTCTGTATGATCTGCAACGCTTGAATTGTTTTTACCATTTGGAGCATATATATATTTAGAGAGAAGCAATTCAGAAGAATGGTAAAAAAGAAGAAGATAATGTTTATATATTTCTTGGATAACAACATGTATGTATTTGACAGTTATTGAAATCAATTCTACATAGAATCTTATTAGGATGATATACATTATCTTCCGATCTGCATGATCCTAAGGCAAATTTGAATAAATCATCTATTTTCTGACGAGAATTTACCATGAATATTTTGCATTGGCCAAAGGTTAAAACTTTAAGGAGGAGGAAAAAGAAGAAAAAGTGAAAAATGAAATTTGTGAATTCGTGATTTTGATGAGATGAGAGGTATTTATATCAAGATTAGGGTTCAAGGTTCTTTTACGGAATTTTTTTAAATTATTCTGTTGTCGAATTTTTGTTAAATGTGTTTTGTTTTTGTTACCGTATTTTAAGATGAAAAGGAGAAAAACTTAAAACAAAAATAAGATGATAAGTTATTTCTGTTGCATGTATACACGAAATAAATGTGATAGTTCAAAATTATCGGAGGAAAGAATATCAAAATCGAACTCCAACGATTCATATTTTCTAACTACTAGACAATCTTAAGTATTGTGGCCTATTTAAGATTTCAAAAATTGAGACCATCAAGAAGACGACG